CAGAGGCTCTCTAGAAGAAAAGATGTTTATTTGGGAATAGAACATTGCAATATGCATGCCATAATAAACTAAGTGTGTAGTCAGGGAGGTAAAGGAAGACAAAGGTTTTTAAAAGAAAAAAGAGGAAGATTACATACTTGTTTTTTAAATGATTATCCTTAGCCACAAAGATCAATAACAAGAGTGATGCCAGTCTGAGGTTAGCCAGGCTGTTGCTGAGCAGATGTCCTTATGGGAGTACTTTTTGTGTAAAGTTGTGATGGCCCTCGTGTAAGGTTATGGCTGTTATGGGGTCTTTTTCATTTTCAAGCAAACAAGTGTGATGACTATTCTTTCATAGCCTTTCCCAGCTCTGTTTGTCAGAGTTTTCTTAACTTTCATGACTCTATTTTGATTCTGATCAAAATGACATAATTACACAAAATCCGACTCTTAACACAACTTATCATCTTTGGTCATCCTGCTAAAACGAATTTTCTTCCTGATTCTCACACAAGTAATTGTGCTTTTTGGCACAGTTGGCACTTACAGTTTTGGCTGTCTTTTCCTCTTTTCTTACTCTACTTTTTATTATATTGCCTTTTAGACTGCAGTCTTAGAGTAAACTCACCAAGAAAAAAAAAAAAAAAAAAAGGAGGGAAATTTACCTTCCTAAAAGACAGAAGCTGGCTAGAGAAGGAGCATGTCCAGGACAGGCACTGCAGCTCATGCTTATAATCCCAGCACTTTGGGAGGCCCAGGTGGGTGGATCACCTGAGGTCAGGGGTTCAAGACCAGCCTGAACATGGAAAAACCCCGTCTCTATTAAAAATACAAAATTGCCTGGGCATGGTGGCACATGCCTGTAATCCCAGCTACTTGGGAGGCTGAGGCAGGAAAATCACTTGAACCTGGGAGATGGAGGTTGCTGTGAGCCAAGATCGCACCCATTGAACTCCAGTCTGAGCAACAAGAGCAAAACTACATCTAAAAAAAAAAAAACAAAACAAGGAGCATGTCTAGTAACTTTCTTTGGTGACACCATAGGGGAGGGAAACAAAATTCTGACAAAGTCCTTGGTAGAAGTTTATTCTGGGCCCTACTTCCACATTAACTTAAAGACAAAGAATTTCATTTACAGAATACATTACTGTCTTGAATAGGAGAGTAAGTTAAAAAGGAAGAGTTTAAAAAAAGCAGATACTTAAGAAAACCATTTCAATTTTACTTGGGGAAGAAAAAAAAATCCCTGTAAAATCTCTTACCTTAAAACAATACTGACTCCAGCCAAGTTTTGGCTAAACAGTACTGCCTAGTATACAGCTGACCCCTGAAAAACATGAGTTTGAACTATGTGGCTCCAAGTATACAGGGATTTTCTTTCACCTCTGCCACGCTTGAGACAGCAAGACCAACCCCTCCTCTTCCTTTTCTTCCTCCTCTCCCTCAGCCTACTCAATATGAAGACAAGGATGAATACCATTATGACTGACTTACATTTAATGAATAGTGAATATACTCAATCTTCCTTATGACTTTCTTAATCACATTTCTTACCTCTATCTTATTTTATTGCAATCATACAGTGTATAATACACATAACATACAAAATATGTGCTAATCAACTGTTTATGTCATCAATAAGGGTTCTGGTCAACTGTAGGCTCTCAGTAGTTAAGTTACTGGGGAGTCAAAAGTTATACACATTGTTCTGTATGTGCAGAGGACAATGCTCCTGACCCCTGAGTTGTTCAAGGCTCAACTGTAGTTCATAACACAAGACTTCTCAGAGCCTTTGTACTTTCTGCTTACCCTCTCTGGCAGAGTCTCCCCCTGAGACATCCTATGGTTCATCCCTCTGCTCAAATGCCCCCTGGCCAGAAAGGCCTTCCCTGACCATTCCATCTAAAAGAGCAACCCTACCAAGACCCCACCCACTCCCAGCACTCCCTGTTGTCTATTACTGTTCCCCAATTGACTTCTCTCCATAGCAGTGATTACCTGAGTGATATCATTTTTATTATCATCATTGATTTGTTTTCTCCCACCAGAACATAACCTCCACGATAAATGTCTGTTTTGTTCCTTGCAATAGTGTACTGTCCCTAAGTAGGTAGCAGGCATCCAATAAATTTGTTACACCAAGGTGAGAGGATCCCCTGGGCCCAGTAGTTTGAGCCTGCAGTAAGCTATGACTGTACCACTACACTCCAACCTGGGTGACAGAGCTGTCTTTAAAAAGAAAAAAATTATTAACGAAATAATGAACGCATATCATTTTCAAAGTTTTTTTCAAATTCCTAAGTTTTTGGCCAGACACGGTGGCTCACGTCTGTAATCCCAGTACTTTGGGAGGCTGAGGTGGGTGGATCACTTGAGATCAGGAGTTCGAGACCAGGAGTTCTAGGCCAGCCTGGCCAACATGGTGAAAACCCATTTCTCCTAAAAAATACAAAAATAAGTGGTGGCGTGTGCCTGTAGTCCCAGCTACTCAGGAGACTGAGGGATGAGAATCACCTGAACCCCAAAGGCAGAGTATGCAGTGAGCCAAAATCGCATGACTGCATCTGCCTGGGTGACAGAGCAAGTGAGACTCTATCTCAAAAAAAAAAAAAAGGAAAAACCTTAAGTTTTTTAACATTATGCGCTAAAATAATTTTTCTTCCCATGGATTACTTGACATATAATAATATAGCTATTTGGACTAAAAATCATGAGACAAGTCTCTCAGTTCTGCCATTAATTTCTTGTATAACTTGGTTAAACCATGTCTCAGTTTTACCTTGTGCTACTGACGTTCTACAGCTTGCAGCCACGACTAAAATCCAACAGAAAAACAGATTACACATATAAAGATTTCTCTGCGCATGTCACCTTTAGTGACTTATGTATGGCATAAAATAAAGACTATAAGAACTACTTTTCAAGAGGGTGATCTAAGATATACTCTATTAATATTCTCTCACCAGGGTCTAATCTGGAAGGTTCAGACTTTTAAATTGCTGACCTCAAAAACACCTGCTATTTTCAGAAACTTACAAAATACAGAGATGTTAACCCATTTCCACGTTTAAGCCGTAGTGCTTTGCCCTTTATTCTACTTTCAAACTTGCTACCATTCATTATCTCCATTTTTACAATATCACGAATGTCATGGCATATAATGCTTTGTGAAAAGTGTTTATTATTTACATTTTTATATTACCAAAATCTAGACTTTTTTTCAGCTGCACTTGGAAAACTGTTCCAAATAGATTACATTACCCACTGGAGCTAAAGATCAGGGAAAAATCAATATGGGATGTTCATGAATAACGTCTGAGTCTGTTATGGAAAGATCGTTATTTAATTAAATGAGACTACGTATACAGTGATTTGGAGAGATGAGGAAAACAGTGTTTTCTCATATGTTAGCTAACGATTACTATATTTAAAGAATCTCTGAGCTGATAATTTTGGGAATTCACCCTAGTTCATCTAGGACTCTGCATTTAGTACTTAAGGAGAAATGTCTCATTTTCCAGAATCGAATAAAGATAAGCACACAATTGTGTAGAATGGATTTCAGTGTGTATTCAAATCAAGACCAACGTACTTTTTAAGAGTCTAACACCTCCAAGTAGTAGTTGCAAGTATCGAACCCATGAATCCAGATAATTAATGTGTCTAACATCACACTGTTAAAATCTCAGGTGGGCTCCAAAACAGTCCTAACCAGCATGCTCTACTGCCTCCTGTAAGGCAACAGCTGAAGTGAAGACCACTAGGATAAAAAGCTGTCCAGCCTTCCCCATTCCTAAATTATCCCAACAGACCCCAACGCCTCTCTGGGATTCTCTCTGTGCACCCTGCAGGCCACCCCGAGTTCCCGGCATCCTCTGGGTTCCCTCTTCCTGGCACCAAAACGCTGCGCAGGCTCCTTTCCTCCAGGCTGATTGCCTAGGTGCTCTCTGAGGGCTGTCCGAAGTCTCCAAGTCTCGCGAGGGCGAACCCGTTGCGGGGTGGGG